CCCCCCCCCCCCCCCCCCCATCTCTCTGATCTGCTACAACCGTATGTCCCACCTCATTCCCTGAGGTCAGTGGACCAGTTGCTCCTCACAGTTCCAGGATCTCGTCTTAAGCGCAGAGGTGACAGGGCCTTCTCTGTAGCAGGACCAAGACTTTGGAACGAGTTACCTCTGCTTGTCAGACAGGCCCCTCCCTCTCGGTTTTCAAGTCCTGTTTAAAAACCCACTACTATTCAGTAGCTTTCAACACCAGAGGATCTGTGTTTTGATCCTGTACGCTCCACACTGGTTAGTCGTCATTATCTGCATCGTTTTTATGTTTATATTCTGATTTACCTCATTTTGTATTTTGCTTTGTGTGTTGCCTGTTTTTCTGTCTGTACAGCACTTTGGTTGGCCTTGTTGCTGTTTTAAGTGCTCTATAAATAAAATGGTATGGTATGTTTGAACCACTCAGGATTAGCAGAGGTGCAATCCTGGGTCTTTTTGAACTCGTCCATAGGACCTGACTCTCTTCAAAGCCAATCAAGATTCTCTATCCAAGGCCTCACAGTTCCTCCCACATCCAGGTTTTTGCCTCAACAACAGCCAGGCTGCAGCTCACTTGGCCTGGCAATAGCCTTCAGCTGCCTCCAGAGTCCTGTGAGCCAACAAAGTCCAGTAGGACTCCTTCAGCTTGACAGCCTCATCACCCAGAGTGTCCACCACTGGGTTGTAAGATAGATGCTGAGAGAGGCACCAACAACCTTGCAGTCACAGCTCAAGGCATCCACCTTGAACCTGGAACATGCACTACTCAGATTCAATGTCCCCCTCTCTTGCTGGGATGCAGTTGACACTCTTGGATGTGTGAATTGAAGATCCTTCTGATGAGTTCTTCTGCCAAGCAAACCCTCACTGCACATTTGGGTCTATCGGGTCTGTCCGCCATCTTCCCCTGTCATCTGATCCAACTCACCAACAGGTGGTTATCAGTTGACAGCTCAGCTCCTTCACCTGAGTGTCCATAACACATGGCCACAGATCAAATGCCATGACTACAAAATCTATCATCAATCTGCAGCCTAGGGAGTCCTGGTATCACATGCACCTATGGACACTCAAGTTCAAACATGGTTTTCATGATGGACAAACCATGATTAGCACAGAAGTCCAACAACAGAACCCCTCTCAGTTTCAGATCAGAGAGGCCCTTCCTCCCAAATATGCTTCTCCCGGTCACACACTCGCTACCCACATGGGCATTGAATTCCCAGCTAGAGCTGGGGAGCAGCTCTAGAGCTTCCAGTACCCCCCACTAAGGACTCCAAGAAGGCTGGCTACTGTTCGCGCAGGCACAAATCATCCGAGACCATTTCCCCCACTGGAAGTCGCAGGGAAACTACCATCTCATCAACTGGGAGAAAACTCCAACCCTGATCTCCTTGTTATTGTCTGTCCAAGTGTTGGGAATGACTTTTTGTCTGGCCTGTCACCTACAACCTGTGTGCCTTGGAGACCCTAACAGGGTAATAGTTCCCAAAAGCAACAGTTCAAGAAGAATCTGTTTGCAATTCTTTTACTAAATTATTTGTGTTCTAAAATTTTTATATAGTTTTATTTTCCAGAAAACAACAACTATACTTTAAATTGCATCACTGTACTTTAAATAATTCTTGGACAAAAAGAGATAAAACTCCAAACAGATCCCAAGGTTTTCCTCTGTCAACAGTCTGACTGTCCCAGTTTAACTTGGTTAAACTTAGTTAGTTAGTTAACTTGGTTAGACAACAAGCAGCAGAAAACCCTTGGGTTTGTTCCCTTTTGTTGTTAATCTGTTAATTTTCCCTTCATGGTCCTTCTGTTTCAGTTTTTTGTCTTTTCCACCAGTGTTCGGTCAGCTGAGCCGAACAGTTTCTTTTTTTGTTGATGTTTTGTCTTTTGCTAATCTGAGTGAAAAGACCAAAGTTCATGCTCAATAATCCAGGTAAAAAACTATTAATGTTCAGTCTGGTCATCTGGATGGTTTCTTTTAATTTTTTTTGCTGAGACATTTCATCCTTCATCCAAAGGACTTCTTCAAATCTGAGGAGCCACCAAACAAACTGAATCCCACAAACAGCACACTCCCATAGTGGAAAATAACAGTTTACTGGTGATGAGGACCACCGGGCTAAACGAAAAGACGTCTTTTTGCTGTGTTTGGTAAATGGAGCACTCGTTCGCTACCACCTCATTGACACTAAAATTCTCTACATGACACTAAAACCTGGTTAAAATTAAATTTTCAGAATCTGAATGAAAATATGACTAAATTCATTCAGCTTTGGAAAATGTAAAACTCTTCTGTGCAGCCTTCACCACTCTCTGCAAAGCTTTTCTTTCTGCAGCTGTGCAGCCTCCATGCCACACGTTGATGCTGGAGCACAGGATGCTCTCCACTGCACACCTGTAGAAGGAGGTGAGGACTGAGCTTCCAGACCAGCTCGTCTCAGCCGTCTGAGGAAGTAGAGTCTCTGATGAGCTTTCTTCATCAGGCTGGTGGTGTTGTTGCTCCAGCTGAGGTTGTTGTTCAGGTGCACAAGTACTTGTAGCTGGAGACCACTTCCACCGCAGGTCCTCTTGTGTTCAGGGGTGTAGGTGAGTTTGTTACTTCTGAAGTCCACGACCATCTCCTTCATGTTCTTCATGTTGATGTGAAGGTTGTTCTCTTTGCATCAGCTCTCCAGGTGTTCCGCCTCCTGCCTGCAGCTGGACTCTTCGTTGTTTGTGATGCATCCCAGATGCAGAAAAGATTTCACTGCTTGATTTAGAAGTTGGCAGCACGGTGGAGCAACTGGTAGAGCTGCTGCCTCTCAGCGAGCAGGTCCCTGGTTCAAACCCTGGTCCAGGGGCCTTTCTGGGTGGAGTTTGCATGTTCTCTCCGTGCATGCGTGGGTTTTCTCCAGGTGCTCCGGTTTCCTGCCACAGACCAAAAACATGCATGTTAGACTGATTGGTAACTCTAAATTGTCCCTAGGTGTGAGTGAGAGAGTGAATGTTTGTTTGTCTCGTTTGTCTCTATGTGTCCCTGTGATGGACTGGAGACCCGTCCAGGGTGTCCCCGCCCCTCGCACAGTGATTGCTGGACATGGGCACCAGCGACATCCCATGACCCAAAATGGAATAAGCGGGTAAAGATAATGGATGGATGGATTTAGAAGTTTTCAGCAGTCGAGCTGTGGTGTGTCCATCATCAGCGGCAGCATATGCAAACTGTAGGTGTCTGAAGGTTTGAGTGTCACACTGCACATGAGGAACACTCATTAGATGTAGTGACAAAAGTAGCCACTTTATTTAATCATGAAACAAATGATGAAATAAAAAACTGATTTTAGCTCAATTTTGTCTTAAAGTTTTATTTCCTCCGGATCACAAGTCACAAAATCAAAAACATGTACGAGAAATATCAAAACACCTGTACTGCTGCTTTTAGACATTTCCAGTTTAGTGAGCAGACTCTATGCCAAAGAGCCAACCCCTCACCTCCCCTGGTCTCCCAGGACAGGGACGAGAAAGATAAATCATGAGACCAAGAATTTCAAATCAGATCTCACAGACCTCTGGTGATGATGCAAACTCTCGAAGAAGCTGAACTTTGTTTTCCACAGCTACTCAATGCATCCTGCAGGAAGACCGTGCGTCCTCGCTCAGTGTCCATGCTCATATACGTTACTCTCTCCTCCACCTCTCTGCTCACTGTGACCCTCAATATGCTGGTTATCATCTCCATCTCACACTTCAAGTAATTCAATGCATCGTCCGTTTAGAGGAGAGAGTTCCTAATGCTGATTTTTGTGTTTCATGTTTGTGACTACATGAGAAATGTTACAATAATTGATGGTAAGTTTTGTTGTGTTCTCATCTCTCCAGGAAGCTCCACAGCCCCACCAACTTCCTCCTCCTCTCTCTGGCGGTCTCAGATTGCATGGTGGGCTTCCTCATCTCCTTTCAGATCATGCTCATCGACGGCTGCTGGTACCTCGGAGACCACATGTGCGCCCTGTACATTGTTCTGGACTACGCTATTACCTCGGCCTCAATAGGAACCATGGTTCTTATTTCAGTTGACCGCTACGTGGCCGTTTGTTACCCTCTTTATTACCTGACAAGAGTCACTGCAGAAACAGCAAAGGTGTGTGTTCTAATTTGTTGGATATTTGTGTTTTTCTGTCACAGCCTTCTGCTGGAGAACAACCTGCAGACACCAGGCAGGTATAACTCCTGCTCCGGGGAGTGTGTGCTTGTTGTTAGTTACATCGGAGGAGTATTTGATCTGTTTTTGTCATTTATTGGTCCTGTCACTGTCATCATAGTTCTGTATCTGAGAGTGTTTGTTGTGGCTGTGTCTCAGGCTCGTGCCATGCACGCTCGTGCCATGCACGCTCGTGTTGCAGCCGTCACTCTTCAGGGCTCAGTGAGGGAAACAGCTAAATCTGAACTGAAGGCAGCTCTGGTTCTCGGGGTTGTTGTGGTTGTGTTTCTTCTGTGCACATGTCCATATTTCTGTGTAACACTGAGCGTTCAGGACGATGAGGTCAGCGCTTCGTCTGTGACATTCCTTCTGTTTTATTTGAACTCCACTCTGAACCCGCTGATTTATGCACTGTTTTACCCCTGGTTCAGGAAATCTCTTAAACTAATTCTAACTCTTCAGATCCTGAAGCCTGGCTCCTGTGACACCAACATGTCGTGATGAGAGCCACTGATACCAGAGCCAAAGTACCAAAAAGTCCAAAAGGCATTTAAAGTATTGCTCTGCTTATTTTTGTAGCCAGGCTAAAAAAAAAAAAGAAAGAAACTTTAATAAAAAAGCTGGATTTTTATTTTTATTTTTGCCATTTCAATTTAACTTTTCACAAGAAAGCTAATGACTGTTTTTCATTTATACAAAATTAACTGTATTGTGTTTTCACAGTGACGGTGTATTTAAAAATAACTAAAGAAATAGCATTTCCTGTGAAAATGCTTATTGCAAAAGAACTTTGTGAAAAGCAGCTGAAATTAAAGAACAAGCCTAAGTTCAAGTTCAAGTAGGTTTTATTGTCATTTGCATCCCATGTTGTGTCCACAGGGTCCCAGTTACATCCAACAACAGCAAAAATATAAAGTATAAAAAGAAACTAATAAAGATCTAAGATATAAACTAAGAAACAACACTAACAGTGCAAAACAATACGCCGAACAACAGCAACACGAACATGAGTCTGTGTAAGAAGATGGGTACGAAAGAACACAGAAACATGAGATAATCAGCAGCATGAGATCAGCAGCACATATCAACAATCAAGTGTCATCACAGTGATTCTCCTGGTTAGAGATCAATCAACCTTTATTTATACAGGTAAATCCCATTGAGCCTCGAGGACTCATTTACAAGAGAGACCTGATTTCAACTCATGAGATTCATGAGTCTAACAGCCTCAGGGTAGAAGCTGTTCCTCAGTCTAGTGGTTCTACACTTAATGCTCCTCAACCTCCTTCCTGAGGGGAGCGGGACAAAAAGTGTGTGTGCTGGGTGAGTGTGGTCCTTCATGATGCAGGTGGCCCTCTTCCTACATCTGGAGGTGTAGATGTCTGTGATGGTGGGGAGACTGATTCCAACATCTTCTGTGCAGCCTTCACCACTCTCTGCAAAGCTTTTCTTTCTGCAGCTGTGCAGCCTCCATGCCACACGTTGATGCTGGAGCACAGGATGCTCTCCACTGCACACCTGTAGAAGGAGGTGAGGACTGAGCTTCCAGACCAGCTCGCCTCAGCCGTCTGAGGAAGGAGAAGGTTGTAAACAGATCTAAAGATCTGAAGGATGTAAAATGAGCTTAATTCATTTTCTGAGAGAAAAATGGCAGAAAAGGTTAAATATTTCAAAAAGCTAAAGTTGCACTAAAAGCAAAAGTTACAGCAGGATTGTCCTGAAAGAGCCGAACATTTTGATTTATGATTTGTCGAAATAGCTTCAAAACAGAATCACGCCGAAAAACGTACAGAAGAAAAATAGATTACAATAATAAATGTGAATATATGATAATATACTGATAGTGAATGTTTCATAAACTGTTAAACCTGTTCAGGTCTCTCTTTAAATGAGTCCCCGAGGCTCCGTGGGATTAACCTGTAGAAATAAAGATTGAATGAATAAACATTCAGACAATAATAAATTTAAACAGGATCGCAGTGAAAGTTTAATAAGTATTCACACTATAAAAAAACAATCATTAGGAAGGTGGAACTTATGCTGTATAGATTATAGATTGTACAACGATTTTTCAGCACAGGATGCTAACAAACATGATTTCACTAATCTTTCTGTCACTTCACGGTGCAGACGCTCAGGGAACTGGCTGATTGTTCCATTCTCATCAGAACTGCAGTGTCTCCAGGAGTGTCCTTGGACACACTCACCGCCCTTGTCGTCTCCCCCTCCTCTGCAGAATGTCTACGTCCCCGTGTGCTTATGTGGGCGGGGTGTTTTGTCACTTTCATGCTCTCTCCCATTGGCCATTGTGAGAGAGCACGTTAGGATTTTTGTTTTGCCTCCAAATCCTTCATGTTGTTACTTTCACAACTTGTTTGTCTGTCTGAACATGTCTCACTGGTAAAAGAGTCTTCAAGGCTCGTTGGGAATTATCTGTATGAATAAAGGTTTGAATGAACCTGGACAGGTCTCCAGTCCATCACAGGGACACATAGAGACAAACGAGACAAACAACCACTCCCTCACCTCGGGACAATTCAGAGTCACCATCAGTCTAACATGCATGTTTTTGGTCTGTGGGAGGAAACTGGAGCACCTGGAGAAAACCCACGCATGCACGGAGAGAACATGCAGACTGCACCCACTGGAGTGGATTAGGCTGTTTAACTGATTGGTAACTTTAAATTGTCCCTAGGTGTCCCTGTGATGGACTGGAGACCTGTCCAGGTGTCCCTGTGATGGACTGGAGACCTGTCCAGGAGTCCCTGTTTGTGTTTGGAATGGTATTTTGGCTTATGGACAAATTAAAGACGTGAGACACTGGTTCTGCAATAATGTAATTTGACCCCAAATGTCTATATTAGCCTAAAATATTGGCCCTACCGATGTGTCGGTGGGGTTCTTCTACATACACGTCCAGGTCTTTTTGGACTAAAGTGCTCCTGACAGCACAAAAATCCTTGATGGTTTCACATCGGCCTTCATTCAAAGGTTTTCTGATCAAACCAAAGCAGAATTATTCATATTGCCAAATCATTCAGTAATCTATGGGCACAGTTTAATGTCTCTAAACAGTCTTTATTAAGTCAGTCAAAACAAAATGACCTTTCTTGACTGACAATACAAACTGATTATACATTATAAGTTGTAGATATGTGTAAGTTCAAGATTACAGATGAAAATTTAGGTTTAGGTTTTACAGTCATCAGTTTGGAGGCTGAGGCTTGTAAATGAGTCCTCGCAACTCAAAGACTAACGTGGTTCTTGACCTGCCATTGTGTATCTATTCCTACCAAACCCAGCCGGTCGAAGCAGATGGTCCTCTTGTCCTGATCCTGGTTCTGCTAAAGGTTTCTTCCTCATGAGGGAGTTTTTCTTTCCACTGTCGCCTTCATGCTTGTTCAAGATGAGAGTTCAGTGATGGAGTTAAACTCAAAGCTGCTCCTCAGATAAATAATGTTCAATTATTATTTTATACATGAATGTTTATGTTCAATTATTATTTTATATGTAAATGTTTCTGTTCAATTATTATTTTATACATGAATGTTTCTGTTAAT